GTCCCCTCTTAGCGTCCTCCTTCTCAGAAGTCTGCCATTAAGGACGAGGAAGGCGGGCAAATAGCATTATACATCAGTAATACAAGTTTTGCCATTACCATAATTAATGTGATCTTGACAGCCATCAATGTGACCATTTCATTATCATCCCTATCCCCACCATTCAGCAATTTCGATCAAGTTGTAAATATTGAGCATGCTCTGATGGCTCCAACGGTTGTCTCCCCCCAGCTTCAAATAAGGAATCAAGCAAGCGAAATCCCACCTGTATCGTACACGAAAAAATAGCCCCTTTCAACGATCAGACATCCGCACTCGAGTGCTACGCCTGTGTGTCAAACGCAGAGGAAGTTAACTTCGTTCATCATGTGGATCAGTGAACAGGAATGGGTACGGCCGCAACCTGTTTCGCTCATTGCATTGGCATTGGAAACAGCGACGCGGCACTCACACTCGCGTCCAGCACCAATAACTCCAACACCGCCTGCCATATACATCACAATCCCAACCTCTTGCATTAACACTTCATCATACGCCTCACCACCATCTTGCAGGCGAATGTCGCAACCTAAACAGGTAAAGACCACTTTGTTACAAAACCGAATATAAAGCAGAAAAAAGAAGAAACCTACTGACATCATCCAGTGTGTCAATTCCCTTTTCTTCAAACTCTGTTGCACCTTCATCCGTTTTCTCCTCAATGCATAAACACTACCATCAATAAAGGTCTCCAACTTCTGTCGACACTCGCAGTTGTTCCAGCTTCTCTAATATCCTACAAATATTCGCACAGAACGATCACAGCTATGCACACCCATTGAGCCCACCTTGTCCTTCCCACTGCACTACACATTCTTCAACACTTCAATGAGATAAGTTCCACCTTCCAATTCATCAACATCATCTTCCTCACAACCGCACCCATAGTCGAATGCTCGTATCAACCACCACATTCCATGCCTCATACAAGCAAGTGACAGTGAGTCTTGAATGGCTCAGTCACAACGCATTGAAAACAGCTGAAGTGATTTAGGGAAGTAGTTTTAACTCTCAAAGAAGTCACCCCTTCATTTCTGGGCTAAAGCCGCAGTCGCAGCCGCATTCAGGAGTATGCTCTCACTGACCTCCTCATTTATGCAACACGATACGACAATGTCGAAACAATACCGAGGAA